AAAATACATGGTTAAAGGCTGGTTTGGCTTCCTCTGGAGTGTTCCATCCAGTTCTGGACACCACACTTGAAAGATGTGAAAGTTGAAATAACTATACTTAACTTCGACCAGCACGCCATTTTCTGTCGCATTTTGAAACTTTTCTCAACAATTAGTTCTAGTAGCGTGGTGCATTAGCATTGCAGGTTTTGCATCAATGGAATGTCATTTTGGCTTTGAACACAACTTGCGCTAAATCTGGAACTGTGAACTGGATCAAAGGGCTTCAAAAACCTCTGAAGTTGAGGTTTAATGTGTAACGATAATGCACTGTCACGTTTCAAAAAATTTAGGGAGAGCAGTTGTAATTCCTGAGTATATTAAATTTATTACCTCTGTTCCCTCAGCATTATAGATTTCTCTGCGTTAGAGCTCCAAGAATCCATGTATTCAAGTACATGCATCTATTCTGAGCAGGACAGTTCTGTTCCAACCAGGCAAGAGTGTAACAATATTAGAACTGCAGCTAAACAAAAAAAACCAAAGAACTATGGATGCCGAAAATCCGAAGCAAAACTAGAAATTGGTGGAGAGACTCGGCAGGTCTGGCAGCATCTTTAGAGAGGAAGCAGTTAATGTTTTGGGTCCAGTGACACTTCCTTCTGTTCCAAAATGTTAACTCTGCTTCTCTCCACAGATGCTACCATACCTGCTGAGTTCCTCCCAACAATTTCTGTTTTTGTTTTATAATTTCAGCTGCTGATCTCCCTTGGTACTTGGATGTAAAATTATGTTTCACTTGATGGCTGTGAAATTTGCTTATTCAAGAATCCATTGTCCATTGTGTATTAATTTACAACCGTTAACAATTTTTTAGCCTACAGTAGAAAAAGGAGAATTTTCACACTAAAGCCTTTGTCTTGTGGATAGTGTTTTGTTTTATTCTTTAATTGCTGCGGCTCTGTAACTAAAACCTGCTTTTCCTTAAACAGTAATTAGTTCTTGCCCAACCTTTTTAAGTTCTTTATCGGCTTGCTTCAAAAGTTCAGTTCAAATTTTTGATTTAAGTCTCTGACAGTGTTTTCATGGTGTAGGGAGTGGCATGCCACATATATTGAACTTTCAACTACTGCCTAGTAACCTGAGTATTGTTTCATTTGTTACTCCAGGTATATTTGTGAATGCTATCAGGTAATTGGCATTTTGTGTGTTTTTTTTTTTGTTTGTTTTTTTTTTGTCCCCAGCTGAGAGGTTAACCATTCATCTCTCAAGATTCTTGGGTCTGAGTTACATTACATTCCATTGCTACCATTTGCAGCCTTGCCACAGGTGTTCTTTTTACATAAGATCACCTTATTGCTTTGGTCATTTTGAAAAGCATCCCTTCTCTGTTTGTCAGCCTTCAGATTCCGTTCTCTTCTTTTCCTCTCTTTATTCTTTTCTCTTTTTTTTAAAAATTCCTTTCTTTCCTGTTTTTATTCTTTACTTCTCGCTTCTTTCCCCCCTCTCTCTCTCTTCTCGCTTCTTCTCTTGCTCTTTTTTTTTCTTTATTCATTCACGGGACAAGGGCGTCGCTGGCTAGACAACATTTATTGCCCATCCCTTAAGAGTCAACCACATTGCTGTGGGTCTGTAGTCACATGTAGGCCAGACCAGGTAAGGATGGCAACTTCCTTCCCTCAAGGACATTAGTGAACCAGATGGGTTTTTCTAACAATTGGCAATGGATTCACGCTCATCATTACATTCTTAATTCCAGTCTGGGTTTGAGTCCTGCCACAGCAGACGGTGGAATGTATTGAATTCAAAATCCACCATCTGCCGTGGCGGGACTCAAACCCAGAACTATCTCTCTCGCTCCTTTCTCTCTCGCTTCTCGCTCATGGCTCTCTCTTGCCTCTCGCTCGCTCCTTGCTCTCTCGCTGTTCTCATCTTTGTCAACCTTTTGTAGTATCATGTAGTGTCTCCCATTGCACCTACCCAGCCCTTTCTCTCGCATGTATGCTTTCCTTTCCTTTCCTTTCCTTTCCTTCAGCCTCACATGCGTACTGTTTCTTACCATGCTGTGTCTTGTGCATGTGCCACTTTCTCATGTACACTGTACAGTAGAGAAATGCAGTGCGTCAGTGATTTTAAAAACTTTTCTATTCAGAAAGTATTTTACGTTTGTAGATGTGCAGCAATTTCTATACACAATAAGATAGAGTGGAAATAATTTAAGATTTCCAAAGCTACTAGTCTGCTTGATATTTATGGACAATGTTTAGACTCTTAATGAATAAGATGCAGGAAACTTTCATCCAAGGATGTGTGAAAGTTCCTGTGCTTCACAAGAGGATGTGGTTGTGTTGATTAGATATACATACTAAGAAATCTTTAACTCTAATTTCATTTAACTATATTTATGCATTTTCAAAGAGCTAAATGTATGTAAGTATTACTTGTGGCTTCAAACATCTCATGTATTAATTGTCTGTTTTCAACTGGAAAGAAAATGCTGAATATTCCTGCATAATGACCTCTTAAACTATGTTGCATGTCACATCTTCAATTGATGTGGGAAGTGTTGTTTGGGCCTTTAATGAATTAGTTTGCTTATGTATTTTTAATATTCTATTCTGCTCACTTGGAGCATAAACACCCAGCATAGTCCAGTTGGACAGTATGTTGTATAATCTGCAAATTGTTGTCAGCTTATTCACAGTTTACAGGAGATAGATCAGATTATTCTCTCGAATTTCAAGGATCATCAATAAATAAAGACCTCCCTTTGCATATTAATCTTTCTTTACTCATTTTTTTATTTGTATTCTGTGATCAAGTTTCATCATGTTATCATGTGGGAATTTGGATTTTAAAGTAAAGGTAAATTGTTTTTCCATTTTAGTATAAAATGTTTTTTTTTTAAACAGGTCAGACATCATTTTCAAGAAAGCATGTGACTTCAAGCTAAATGACTAGATGGATTGATGAAATGTTTGCAATGCTGAACTTTTCTGACATAGAGGCAGACTAGGGCCCACAGTTGGTTTTCATTTGAGAAGAACAGTTTCATTACAGTTGAAGCGAAATTTTAGTTTATGGCAGTTCAGGCTTTTAAAACTGCTTTAACAAATGAGGTAGACAAGGCTTTTCTTAATGCTAAGCTAGAAAAAATCAAGTGTAGCCAGTATCTGCGAATTTTGGGGAGAGACCATAACACACAGAATTGCATTTGGTTAATGTGTAGAAACTTGTCAATGAAAGAAATACTTGCAACCCAGACAGTTAGGTAAGAAATTTACAGTTCAGGTAAGAGTAATATTTTACTGAGGTGAGTGTCTGTAAAGGATATTGCTAGAAAAAGGTTTTTTTTTCTTTTGGCTGTAAGAACATTGGCACTGAAATGAATTTATTCGTTGAATTATTCATGAATTGATTACCATGATGGCCATGGCAATCAATCTGCACTATGATCTATCAAACCAGGTTTCACTGAGACCTGACTTTTTGAGCATTAGCATCAGCTGGGTTCACAATAGTTCAGATCTCTAAATAGCCTTTTGAAAGCTTTATGTATGTTTCTAAAGTAATTCAGACTTTTCAATCTTTCATTTAACATGGTGGTCCAGAACGTGGTCAGTGTTTACTTGTGTACTAATTGTGTGTTCAATTTGTTTGGGTAGTGAACATTAACTAACGAGGAATTCATTTGTATTCATATATATTGAGGCAGATTGAAAATGTTGTGCTTGAATTGCAAGGTGCATGTTTGTAATATGCACTGCTTTATGAACAAAAGCCGAGTATGTACATGAACGTGTAATCTCTAGTTCTATTCCTCACTGATTTAGCTTTCTGGAATAGAACAGGTGGTACTCCTGACCTCAAAGAAAGCTGCCACAATGGACTCCATGGTGCATATTTCTCCATTATGATGTTAGTTTAATTCTGGTGTGCAGGAACAGTAAGCTCATCAAGTAGGCTGAGAAGAAAATCTCATAGACAGCAAACAAGGAAGTAAAGTTTGCTGGTTATCATTCATTTTAACTTGCTCTCTGTGGAATGATTAAAGACTGGAATATGCAAGTGAAATTAAGGTAGAATATAAGCTATCAAACTTGGGGAAAATAGGTTTTTTTTTAAATCATTCAAAAGAAGGAATGCCACTTGACTGAAGTATTTTTCAAAGCCAGCTATGATGATCAACATTTTTTAACTTAGTTCACCATTTGAAAATTCAGCTGCATCTCATCAACAAGACTTAACCTTTTCAGTTTTTTTTTGCATGGAGAATTGTGCATTAAAAAGTTAAAGCTCTCAACAGATTTGAATCTGCAAATACAGCAGCCACTGCCTTGGAGGAGCACGGTATCTCTGACAGTATTTTGCATCTTTAACTAGGCCTTTGTGCTCAACAAGTTTCCTAACTGGCTATGGCTCTACAACCTAGATTTGTTTTTATATTTTAATACTGACACTTCACCAATGCAAAATAATGAGCGAGGCAAATTTGAAAACATAGCTGCGATGATTTTGAAGACTGATAGATAAAATCAGACTTATTGTGCTCTTTCTTCAACAAGGTCATTTATCTTCAAAAAACACCAGAAGAGGCTTACAGATCTCTCGTAGCAGGAAAGAACCCTCCTTATCTGCCATTCAGGTATGATTGCAATGTTGCACAAGTAATTTTCTTGGTCTTCTATTTCTTTTGATTGCAACATTAAAAAGATTGACAGTTCTATTTATTTTCCTCCTTCTTCCACCCCCATCCTAATGCTATCACAAGACAATAGCTTGACAAGGAAGAGAAGGTGAAAAGTTACTGAGCATTGTTTCATTTTGATTTAAAGCATTGGGAAGGTTCAGATTGATCTTTCTTTCCAGCATGGAGAAGCTCCTTTTTACTGAATGTTTCACACGATGTTGACATGACTTTGAATTTATATAGCACCTTTTAACATATATAAACATTCTGAAGCACAGTGACTTTATTGGTTAAAAGTTTGATCAAAAAGGGAAGAACATCTCAAAGTGGGATATGGGGATTGGAAAGAAAGAACAACCATAGCAGTTCAGGGATGGAATTTTACACCTTGGGACTTTGTCAGCTGAAGACACATTCTTCACTGGTGGCAAGATTAAAATTGGGGATGTTCAAGAGACCAGAATTAGTGGAGTGCACATATCTCAGACAGTTTCAGGATGTAGGTAGAGTTAAAGGGATGGGAGGGATGAGAATTTTAAAACTGAATGCTGGTTATACTGGGAGTCAAATGTAAGATAATTGAGCACTCTTAATGGATAAGTGGAACTTTGTGTGAGTTAAACTAGGGTAACAGAATTTTTAGGTGACATTAAGTTTATCAATTTAACAGGGGAGTCTGACCAGGCATGCACTTGATGTTGCAAAGATAGGACTTGGCAGTCTTAGTGCAGATGTGTGCTGAAGCTCAACTCTGGCAAAATGTTGTGGCATTGAAGGTTGCTAACAGTTTGTTCAGCCTCAAACTGGATGGAACCAGTGGCTAGAGTTTGTGGAGGTGAATGCTTTTTTAAACAAAAGCTCACCTCTTGCAGATGTGCATGTTGCTGGCTAGACTAACGTTTGTTTCCCATCTCTCACTACCCTTGAACTGAGTGGCTTATCAAACCATTTCTGAGGTCATTTGGGTGTCATCTTCATCATTGTGGATCTGGAATCACATGAAGGCTAGTTCAAGTAAAGACAGCAGGTTTCCTTCCATAAAGGACAATCATGATAATTGATAATTTTATAGTCACTGTAACCAAGGCTGACTTTGAATTTCAATTCATTTAATAATTGAATCAGCTACCATACAGGGATTTGAACCCATGTTCCCAGGCTAAACGCATTTAGCCTGGGAACATGCGTCACTAGTCTGGTGACAGTTATCACTCTGCCACTTTTCTCCATCAAAGCTGAAAACAATGACTTCAGGTTTTCCAAAATTTAATTGGAGGACATTTCTGTTCACCTGATACCGGATGTTGGATAAGCAGTATAACAATTTAAAATCCATAGATGATTCGAGCAAGTAGTCATGTGGAAACTGATGCTATGTTTTGTTTTTGCTTTGATTAAGAATCAAATCCTCGAGACTGGTAGAATATCATTGATCCAAAACTAAATGCCAACTTTGTTGTTTAGGCTTCAATATGTTGTTGTTCATTTGTCCTTGAAGATTCAATACTGTTAATCTATTTTTTTTGTATTTTTTTTATTAGTCATGCTGAGTGTTGATATTTTGAAATTAAATTTTCAAATTAAATTTTTTTTGTGCTGAAATTCTGTTGGTCACGATGCAGTGTTGTTCATTGTAATGTAAAGTGCATGGAAGAAAGTGGATGCTGGAGTATCGCTGAATGCGGCAGCAAATGCATCCTACCAGGCATAATTTCATAATTTGTTGGCAACATACTGTCCCAACCATCATAGATTGTAGAATCCCTACAGTGTGGAAACAGGCCCTTAGGCCCAACAAGTCCACACTGACACTCGGAAGCATGTCACCCAGACCCATCCCCCTAATAACCCACCTGATCTATATATCCCTGAACACTACAGGCAAATTTAGCATGGCCAATCCACCTAGTCTGCACATCTTTGGACTGTGGGAGGAAACCGATGCACCTGGAGGAAACCCACACAGACACAGGGAGAGTATGCAAACTCCACACAGACAGTTGCCTGAGGGTAGAATCGAACCCAGGTTCCTGGTGCAGGCAGCAGTGCTAACCACGGAGCCACTGTGCCACCGCTTAAAACACTTGTGTAAAATAGGCAGTCAATAACATCACTGTAAAAAAGAATAAAGAAGGAACTTGAATTTACATAACTCATTGTTCTCAGGGCATTATAAAGTAAGTTGAAAGTATGTTTATGTGTACATAAAAAAAATTAATATATAAATGTATGTTTGACATATTTGTTAAATTTCTTGTCATGCATAGTTGTTTTGAACTGTGAATTGATTTGTGAATTAAGCTAATACTTTGGATTTTAGTGGGTGTTTACCCCGAGCTGTCAGAGTGAGCAAGTCTCCAACTTTCTTTTAAACAGCAAGACATGCAGCCAGTCTTTGTAAAATTTTGCACAAGTGTTTACAGAGTTCCACAATGACACTACATTCCAAATCCTCAGTGCATTCTTGTAATGTAAGCTTCCAAAGGGGGTGCGGGGGCGGGGAAAGAAAAGAAATTGGATGCATAGTGCAAATTAACTTGGCAACAAAAGATTACCTTGAGGTAATCTCAAGATTGCTCTCGTAGCTATGTGATGAGAAGTTTTGAGCTTCTTCTGCTTGTGAACTGAATGTGCAAATTTCTGTTCACATGTTACCAGGCTTTTTTTCCCAGGTATTTTAAATTTATGTTCTTAACATTTGTTGTTTAATCTAACCAGGAAGAGATTTATAAGTAATAAATGAAATGGACATGTTGGAACTTGAGTTTCATACAGCTTGATGAAAGAAAGGTATTTTGCATTCTTTGTTTGTGAAGTTTCTAGTATTTCTTTTCCACATTTCACAAACATCTCGTTAATGGTTTCCCTTGTTAAATCCTTTTTTTAAGTATCCTTTGTATAAGCAAGAAAGGTTCATCGACCAACAAAAGTTACTAGGTGTTGGGCTGTATTTATAAAAACAGACATTCACCATGATCAAGTCAGTGTTTCAGAAGTCAGCATCTTTTTGTTATTGCAATATTTAACTCTTCTAGCAAGATTGGAAGATTATAAGCAATTGTTATAATTTAGAGTGGAAGCTGAAAAAAATCAACATATTGTACCTCAACCAATGATTGTAGTGATTCAAGAAGGCAACTCACTTCCCTACCTCTGAATTAGGAGGCCTGGGTTCAAGTCCCATCTGCCCCAGAGATGTGTTGTAACATCTCTGCACAGGTTGATTAGAAAATTATATTTTGGAAAAAGGCAACTCCATATCATATTTTTGAAGGTATTTTAACAATTGGCTTTATAATTGCACTTTGCCACCAAATCCTACATTTTCTGGAGTATGTGTTAACATCACATTCTATTTGGTCATTTGCAGATTTGTGATTGTTATCATTGGCTAATTCTTTCAAACCAAAATCTGATTACAGATTATAGGCCACTTCTATTGACTGTCTCATTTTGAAGTTTTATACAGCTATTCTGTATGTTGAATTTAGACTTTTAAGTTGTTTAGCCACTAATGATTGTAAAAATTGGGCATATTTTGTGTAATACGTTTGAAAACATATATTTGAAAACCTGTTTAAAAAGGGAGTAAGGCAAAAGACGGAAAATTACAGGCCGATTAGCCTAACCTCTGTCATGGCTAAGATTTTGGAGTCAGTTGTAAAGGATGAGATTTCTGAATTCTTGGAAGTGTATGGTAAGGTAGGGCAAAGTCAGCATGGTTGCATCAAGGGGAGGTCATGTCTGACAAATCTGGTAGAATTCTTTGAGGAAGTAACGAGCAGGGTAGACCAAGGAGAGCCAATGGATGTTATCTACCTGGACTTCAAGAAGGCCTTTGACAAGGTGCCACACAGGAGGCTGCTAAGTAAGATAAGGGCCCACGATGTTAGAGGCAAGGTGCTAGCATGGATTTGACTGTCTGGCAGAAAGTAGAGAGTGGGGATAAAGAAGTCTTTCTCAGGATGGCAGCCGGTGACAAGTGGTGTTCCATAAGGGTCAGTGCTGGGACCACAACTTTTCACTTCGTAAATTAATGATCTAGATGAAGGAACTGTGGGCATTCTGGCTAAGTTTGCAAACAATACAAAGATAGGCGGAGGGACAGGTAGTATTGAGGTGGCAAGGCTGCAGAAGGATTTGGATAGGTTAGGAGTGGGCAAAGAAGTGGCAGATGGAGTACAGTGTCGGAAAGTGAAAGGTCATGCATGTAGGTAAGAAGAATAAAAGCATGGACTATTTTCTAAATGGGGAGAAAATTCAAAAGTCTGAAGTGCAAAGAGACTTGGGAGTTCTAGTCCAGGATTTCTCTCAAGGTAAGCTTGCAGGTTCAGTCAGTAGTCGGGAAGGCAAATGCAATGTTGGCATTTATTATGAGCGGACTTCAATATAAAAGCAGGGATGTACTATTGAGGCTTTATAAGGCTCCGGTCAGGCCACATTTGGAGTATTGTGTGCAGTTTTGGGCCCCGTATCTCAAGAAGGATGTACTGGCCCTGGAGCGGGTTCAGAGGAGGTTCATGAGAATGATCCCAGGAATGGAAAGCTTAACATATGAGGAATGTTTGAGGACTCTGGGACTATACTCATCGGAGTTTAGAAGGATGAGAGGGGGATCTAATTGAAACTTCCAGAATACTGAATGGCCTGGACAGAGTGGATGTTAGGAAGATGCTTCCATTGGTAGGAGAGTCTAGGACCCGAGGGCACACCCTTAGAGTAAAGGGAAGACCTTTTTAGAACAGAGATAAGCAGAAACTTCTTCAGCCAGAGAGTGGTGAATCTATGGAATTCACTGCCACAGAAGGCTGTGGAGGCCAGGTCATTGAGTACATTTAAGACTGAGATAGATAGGTTCTTGATTATCAAGGGGATCAAGAGTTACGGGGAGAAAGTGGGAGAATGGGTTGAGGAACTCATCAGCCATGATTGAATGGCAGAACAGACTCGATGGG